TCCCTGGCCCCCTCCTCACCGACGCGATCCTCACCCAACTTGCTGCGGTTCGTCAGCACCAACGGCTCAATGCTTGGTGGAACCTATCTCAGACTTATCAAGTAAGCAAGATGAGCAATAAACCACGTACACGAGGCACTCGACTACTACATGGATTATGTACGTTCGGAAAGACATGGGTTGCCTCAAGACAGTCACTCACATCCACACCATTGCATGACACCGGGCACGGCTACGCGCGAACACGATCACGCTCAGCAGCGATTACAGTCGGGCTAGCACTGCAGTGGCGCCTCACCAAGCAGCAACGAAGCCACATTACCACTAAACACGACATAGCGAACGCTTTCGCCTCAGTGAACCATTCCCACCTCGACGAAGCTGTGGACAGTATATACCTACCTGGCGACTGTACGATCATGAAAAGCAGGCATCGTCGAGCAGCGTGTGTGATTAGCGATGGGACCGACGCCCAGGGTTACCAGAACACTGTAGGCTGCTTCATGGGAGGCGCCGACGCTGCGATCAAGTTCCGCGTGGCCTTCATGCAGCCCACTACCGAATGGAACGATGCACTCACTACCGATATCAGTACATCGATGGTTGCAGGGTGCGAGTTCACTGGGACTAACGTCGACCTCAGCGTTCGCAAGTACGCCGACGACCTCACCAAGACCCACATGTGCCACGATGCGCAGATGGCGGCCTACAAAGTGCAACAATCCGACCAGATCCTGAACGACAAGCTGCGCACCATCGGACTACAGCAGAATGCGGGGAAAAAGGCTCTTCTACCGACGTTCGTCGGCACTGGCGCTCAAAGATAGGCGCGCGCCCTGCATTATCGCAAGATACCAGTTGAAGGCGAAGTACACTCATCGACCCTGTTCCTAGGCTCCACCATGCAGGCGGACGGTCACAACCACGCCGAGGTTAAAGGACGGTGTATTGCTGCGGCACGAGGATGGCGTAGTATGGGACGTTTCTGGAAGAACTGCCGATACCTGAGACGTCGCAAAAAGGTTTTCAGAAGTCAGGTATTATCAGCCGTCACTTCTGGACTCGAAGCACGTGTACTGACAAAAGCACAACTCGATCATATAGACGCCTGTGTAGCTCGTTACGCTCGAGCTCTACTTCAAGGTACCGCATATATCAAGCAGTCCGCCGACGACGACGCCACCTCTGGCACCGCCGAGGTTGTTCGCAATATCTCATCTCATGCAGCATGGAAAAAAATTGAAGATGGTACCGCCTTCACTGGACATACAGATTGTGCGCATCGAGCGATGGCAACGAGCTGCACGCGAAAGTGACCAGCACGCACAACTACTAGCCTGTGTTCTTGGCTGACTACTCTGCGAGTCAACGACGACGCTGGACTTCGCATGGGCCCCTGTGCACACAACATCTACAGACAATATTCGTGGCTCCCCAGATGGTAACGGACTCACACATATGGCCAATCCTTGGCGTAAGCAGTTCTTTGATGACATGAAGTTGCTGAATGTATTTGCAGACGGACGAGCATGCCCAGACGTCATTGGCGACGATCTGCCCGACATTTTTCGACCGACACCTGGTCGAGACGTGTTTATCAAGCTAACGATTGCACGTGCACGAAAGTGGTGGATTGCACAGCCCGTCCCACCACCCCGCAGTGCTCCAGATGCAACTGTCGCCTGGAGCAGCCCCCATACGCGTGGCCTTCTATGTGCGGATGGAGCGATATGCCTGTTCACGGCTGAAACAAAACAAGCGCTCCGAGTACACCAGACGATGAGCGGGGAGGGAGGCGAGCACGGCCGAATATGCGAACATACGAGATTCACGATTACGAACCAATGCCCTAACTGCCGATCGACCTTCGCGAGCCGACAGACAGCGATCAACCATCTTGCTGCTGCTGATCGTCCTGGGCGATGCCAAAAACACCGCTCTGTATACAACTTCGAGGTGAACGATCCACCGCAGCTGTTTTGCCCAAGTGACGTCTGCGAGCTCACCTACGCTACCCTCGACGAGTTGCAAGCTCACATTGCGACTGAGCACCTTCCCGAACCTCGCCCTCATGTCGTGGATGAGCTCACTGCCCAACGATGGAGAGCCCGCAGGCGCAGCCGCGGCAGAAGCGACACAGCCTGCTCACAAGTCCCGACGCCGCCAGCCCAACGGCCGTGGAAACCAGCAGAGTGGGTCGAAGTACAAGATGGTGGACCTGCAGTCGCTCGACCTGGAGGAGATGGAACTGAAAGATATTCAGCGCATGATCCACACTGTCATGAAGCTACTACTCAACGTGGAGATGAGGCAACGCCAGACCGATGCCATACTGATCAAGACGTACCTCGTCTCACCTGGCACGAAAAACGTCGTGGCGATCCGAGCTCGTGTTCACGCATGGAGAAAAAGAGTCGAAGAGATACGAAGCGCGACGACGGCGCAGCAGATCGATGCGGAGCTGGCGAAGATCGGCAGGATCAGCACCGCAGCCTTCGCAGGTCTGCCCGAAGGTCACCATCAGGAAGGCGCGTCCGCCGGCGGCCTCAACAAGCAGTACCTGACCGCGCTGGGCGAGAAGCTGAAGACCATGGACATCAAGCAGGCCGTCGAGCTCACCCCGCCCGTGAAGGCCAGCGACGCACACGACGCTGCGCAGTGCAAGCCCCAGATCAGCCCCAACCCCAAGAGCGACGTCGACCGCAGTGTGATTCACGAATCACACATCCAGACGGGAGCGATCTACAAGCCAGGCCCGAGACCGATGGCGTACATGGAGAGGATCTTCCACACGAAGCTGACGCAGCTAGAGTACGTGACCACGGGATAGATTTCTACGCCTCCAACGGGGCAAGGCATGGCTGTGCACAATGGGACCCTTGTATTCCGAAGAACACTGCGACGACAGGCAAGAGGAGCCTCGCGACTGCTTCTGGGTATGCGCCAGCTCCTACGCCAACCGTCCAGGGCATGGAGAGCCCACCACACGCAACCCCGAATGCGCTTCCTCCGACGACAGCAGTTCAGGTCATGGGGAGCCCACCTACTGCATCACAGAGTGCGCCTACACCATCAGTTGTTCAGGGCCTGGAGAGCCCACCGTTTGATTCACAGAGTGCGCCTACTGCAGTTGTTCAAGGTGTGGAGAGCCCACCTATTGCATCGCAGAGTGCGCCGACTTCTACGCCAACAGCTCAAGACATGAGAGGCCCACCACAAGCATCACGGAGTGTGCCCACCACTACTGCAGTTGTTCAAGGCATGGACTGCCCACGTACCACATCCATGAGTGCGCCCTCAGCAGTGGTACTGGTACAGGGCATGGGAAGCCCACATCGAACACCTACGTGCGCTACCCCTTCGCGTACTCGTACTGAGATGTGGACAGCTTCGCTGTTAGCACATGCCCGCGCCCTTGCCCAGGATGGAAAGCAGAGACGCCCTGAGGACCATGAGCCTAGCCTGCCCAGTGTCCCTGAACCCCCTCCTCCGTCCTCTGAACCTCCTCTTCCTCCTCCTCCTCAGAAGAGGCCCCGCAGGCCTTCCGCCCCACCGCTAGCTCGCAATACTTCTACATATAATTTCCGAGGCACGTCTTTTCCTCCCACTACTGCCAGACAAAGCACAGGTGGCGACTCAAGGACGATGGATGCCATCATGAGACTTGTAGGAACGAGCAGGCGCTAAGACCTCCGTTTCGTGTCCTGTCAGTGTGTGACCGCGTGGTATATTTTCGGGTGTAGCCCGATCCTAGAGGCACTCAGCGTCTGAAACATCCGTACTGCTGCCTCCGAGGGGTCCGATCCGATCCGATATATATATATATATATATATATATATATATATATATATATATATATATATAATATATATATATATATATATTATATATATATTCCTATATTTTGTAAGCCCGGGCGGGGGGAAAACCCCTCCCCCCCCCCCAAAACCGGACTCCCGGGACCTGGGGCTTTGGGGCCCTCCGGACGGGCCTCGAAGCGGCCACCGGGCCTCGCAAGGCGTTTTGCCAAGCCTTCCCAGCACACTTAGGGCGATCAGGGGGGTCATCGGAGACGTCCCAGAGACCCCCAAGACAGCACAAGAGCGCTCCAAGAGTGACCGACGTGACCTCAAGATGGCCCAAGAGGCCTCCAGGACGGCCCCAAAGAGGCCTCCAAGAGCACTCCCAAGAAGGCCCCCCGAGGCAAAAATCATTTATTTTCTGTGGGTTTTTGGTGAATTTTGGGGTTCTCCTCTTTTCGGCTTCCCGACGATCCAAGACGGTGGTCTTCTGGGCGTCCGAAGCCGCCTGGGAGGCTCCCAAATCGCCCCACAACCATCTGAAAGGGCTTCCAAGCAGTCCAATAGAGCCCCAAAACGGCAGGCCTCTCGACAACTTCCAGGGGACAAAGTCGTGCCGCCGCCGTCGCCGTCGCCGCCGACTCCGCCTCCAGACATGCGATGCCAGAATGTTTTCAGTGCGCGGGCCCACTGACCGTTCTCGAAGGCCCCTGGAGGCCGAACGGCCAAGAGCCTCCCGCCGTGCCCTTTTCGCGGCGCGAGCTCGTCTGGGCCGCCTTCGCCGCCGCCGTCGCCGCGGCCGCCGCCGCATCCGCCGCCGCCGTCGTCGCCGTCGTCGTCGCCGCCGCCGTCGTCGGCAGCGGTGTCGTCGTCGTCGCCGTCGTCGCTGTCGGCGTTGACATCGCCGTCGTCGTCGCCGTCGCTGCGGCCGACACCGCCGCGGTGCCGGGGCGGCGGAGGAGGAGGAGGAGGAGGAGGAGGAGGAGGAGGAGGAGGAGGAGGAGGAGGAGGAGGAGGAGGGAGGAGGAGGAGGAGGAGGAGGAGGAGAGGGGGAGGGCGAGGAGGAGGAGGAGGAGGAGGAGGAGGAGGAGGAGGAGGAGGAAGAGTGGAAGGAGGAGGAGGAGAGGAGGAGGGAGGAGGAGGAGGAGGAGGAGGAGGAGGGGAGGAGGAGGGGGAGGAGGAGGAGGGCGGATGAGGAGGGCGGTGGACGCCTCTGTGGCCACCGCGCTGTCGAGCGCCGCGGCCGCAGCCGATGCGCCCGTCTCCACCGCCAGCGCTGCGTTGGCGAGGGCACCAGCGGCACCTGAGGCCGCCCCATGCGCGAGGTGCGCGCTCGCCGCCGCTCGTCACCCTCGTCGTCGCCGTCCCCTCCTCCTGCTCCGTCCTCTTCCTCGTCCTCCTTCGCCCCTTCCTCCTTCCCCCCCTCCCTCCCCCCCCTCCTCCTCCTTCCCCCCCCGCCTCCTCCTCCTCCTCCCCTTCTCCTCCTCCTCCTCCTCCTCCTCGCCCTCCTCGCTCGCCCTCCCTTCCCCTCCTCCTGCTCCTCCTCCTCTTCGTCCTCCTCCTCCTCTTCTTCCTCTCCTCCTCTCCTCCTCCTCTCCTCCTCCTCTTCGTCCTCTCCTCCTCCTCCTCCTCCTCCTGTTCCTGTTCCTCCTGTTCCTGTTCCTCCTGTTCCTGTTCCTGCTCCTTCTCCTCCTCCTGCACCGTCCTCCCCCTCCTCCTCATCCTGCTCGTTCCCCCTCTTCCTCCTCCTCCTCCTTCTCCTCCTCGTCCTCCTTGTCCTTCCATCCCTGCCTCTCCTTCATCTCCTCCTCCTCCTGCTCCATGCGTTGTCCTCATGAATTTGTCTTCCTTGCCGCATCTCCACACGTGTCGGTATGGCGTGCCGGGCGTTTCGCCTGTGACCTCCTGACCATCTAGGATCTTGCAGCTGGAAATTTGGATCAGCTTCAAGGATGGGGGGTGGGGCATTTTCAAAAGAAGCCTTTAGCTCTGGAGCCACGCATTTTCGTCTTCAAGCTTGCATCAACTTCAAGGATGGAGGGCGAGTTGTTTTCAACATGTGGCTCTCGCTGTAGCGCCGCGCGCATTCGTGTCAAACGTTTATACCAGTTTCACGGATTCGTATGGCTGAAATCCCAGAAACTGTGTCCTGATTCGATTTAAGCTTGTAAGGACGCAACAGTCACGTTAATTTGCGGTGTTGGAATTCCAAGAGTGGAGGTCTGGCACGAGATTGTGAGGACGCAGCAGTCACACGTTGATTCCCAGGCGCTAAAATCCAAAGACTAATGGTTTGGCACGGTAGGATATTCTCAGACGGTTGTCTTTCCATGGGGTTCCCACGCTGACGACCAACTCTTCTAGGGACCTGCGAAGAGGGAACTTGGAGGGAGGGTCTATTGCAGCATCGTTGATGTGTCTTGGGTTTGCACTGGTCTTCCTCGTGCTCCTCCTCCTCCTCCTCCTCCTGCTCCTGCTCCTCCTCCTCCTGCTCCTCCTCCTCCTCCTCCTGCTCCTCCTCCTTCTCCTCCTCCTGCTCCTCCTCCTCCTCCTCCTCCTTCTCCTCCTCCTGCTCCTCCTCCTCCTCCTCCTCCCAGGCCCCCCATCCTCCTCGACACGCCGTGTTTTGCAAGGGCGTGGTCCCCCTCCCTCTCCCGCCCCCCCCTCCTCCGCTCCTCCTCCTCGTCCTCCTCCTCGTTCTCCTCCTCCTCCTCCTCCTCCTCTTTCTCCTCCTCCTTCTCCTCCTCGTCCTCCTCCTCCTCCTGTTCTTGATCTTCCTCCTCCTCCTCCTCCTCCTCCTCTTGTGCCTCCTCCTTCCCCGTTCTACAATTACACAATACGAATGCTACCCTCCTCTCTCCCCTGGTGATGCCTCTGGATTGGGGATTGTTCGGCCCCCTCCGCGTACTGGTTCTTTACACACAGGATCCCCGGGAGTTGGGTTTTCGTTTTTTTGGCAACCAAAAACTGCTCTCGCTGAAGCGTTTGCCTCATCTTCGGGCTACCGCTCGTTCCGAATCGTGCTCCCGCCAAAGCGCTGGCCTCATTGCCGCGCTTCCGCTCGTTCTGAATCGTGCTCCCGCTGAAGCGCTGGCGTCATTTCTTCTAGCGACATTCCACGGCATGATTTTCGGTCCTTCCAAATAGGCCCCCAAATCTAGAAAATGCCCCCCCCCCGAAACAACCACCGGAAGTGATTCCTCATTCGGTGTCGACTCCTTGATTTTTAGGGCCGCAGAAGCCCCCCCCACTTTGGGGCGTCGCCACGCCATGCTATGTCAGGCTGCGCGTTCTCCGAATCGTGCACCCGCTGCAGCGCTGGCCTCATGTTCGCGCTTTCGCTCGCTCCGAATCGTGCTCCCGCTGCAGCGCTGGCGTTATTATTTCCAGCGCCATGTCACGGCATGGTTTTCGGTCCTTCCACGTCGGCCCCAAAATCTAGAAAATGCCCCCCCCGAAACAACCACCGGAAAAGATTACACATTCGGTGTCGACTCGTTGATCTTTTGGGCTGCAGAAGCCCCCCCCGCTTTGGGGCGTCGCCACGCCATGCTATGTCGGGCTGCGCGTCCTCCGAATCGTGCACCCGCTGCAGCGCTGGCCTCATGTCCGCGCTTTCGCTCGCTCCGAATCGTGCTCCCGCTGCAGCGCTGGCGTCATTATTTCCAGCGCCATGCCACGGCATGGCTTTCGGTCCTTCCGAATCAGCCCCCAAATCTAGAACATGCCCCCCCGAAACAACCACCGGAAGTGATGACACATTCGGTGTCGACTCGTTGATCTTGTGGGCCGATGAGGCCCCCTACTTTGGGGCATCGCCACGCCATGCTATGTCAGGCTACGCGTCCTTCGAATCGTGCTCCCGCTGCAGCGCTGGCCTCATTGCTGCGCTTCCGCTCGTTCTGAGTCGTGCTCCCGCTGCAGCGCTGGCGTCATTATTTCCAGGGCCATGCCACGGCATGGCTTTCGGTCCTTCCAAATAGGCCCCAAAATCTAGAACATGCCCCCCCCCCCGAAACTACCACCGGAAGTGATTACACATTCGGTGTCGACTCGTTGATTTTTTGGGCCGCAGAAGCTCCCCCCGCTTTGGGGCGTCGCCACGCCATGCTATGTCAGGCTACGCGTTGATCTCCAACAGCATGCTATGCCATGTAATGCTATGTCCTGCTACGACATCCGACTGTGCGAATAGAGAGGAGATCTACGCCATGGTAAGGGATGGGAGGGAGGGGTAGGACGTCAGATATGACGCGAGCGCACCTAGCTTGTCCTCCCCCCTCCTCCTTCTTCTTCTCCTCCTCCTCCTCCTCCTTCCCCGTCCCCTTTGTTCCTTCCCTTTCCTCCTCCTCTTCCTCCTCCTCCTGACTCCATCCTCCTCCTCCTCCTGTTCCCCCTCCCCCTTCTCCTTCCCTGGCTTGTCCTTGTTGATGCCCCCTTGTCTGACCACCAGGCGTGTCTGTCGGGCACGGACTCGGTTCGCCAGAGTCTCGCTTCGCGGGGGCTCGCTCCGCTGGAGCTTGGCTCGCCGGGGCTTTGGTTCGCCAGGGCCGGCTTCGCTGGGACTTGGCTCGCCCGACGCGATTCGCCCAGCTCGGTGCGCCGGGACCCAGTTCGCCAGGGCTCGGTTCGCTCGGTTCGCGGGCTCGCTTCGCCAGGGCTCGCTTCGCTGGGGCTCTTTTCGCCGGGGCTCGCTTCGCCGGGGCTCGCTTCGCTGGGCGGGCGGACCCTCACGGGCGGGTCGGGTCGGGCGGGCGGACCCTGACGCGCGCGTCGGGTCGGGCGGGTGGGATATTACAGTATGATGCGCCATCGAAGCAGCACGCGCGAGCCCCAATTGGCGGGTCGTGTCGGGCGGGCGGACCCTGACGTGCGGGTCGGGTCGGGCGAGCCGAGCCGGGCGAACAGAGCCCGGGCGAGCAGAGCCAGGCGAATCGAGCCGGGCAAATCGAGCCGGGCGAAGCGAGACTCGAGCGAAGCGAGCCCCGGGCGAATGGAGCTGGGCGAGCCGGGCCGGGCAAATCGAGACTCGGGCGAATTGAGCCGGGCGAAGCGAGCCGGGCGAATCGAGCTGGGCGAGTCGATGCTCGGGCGAATTAAGCCTTCGCCGTCAGCCGTCGCTTCGCCTTGGACTTCATTTTCTTACACGACCCCGAAGCTCGAAGGCTCCAACAGCTACACGGATGGAGGGCGATCCTTTTTCGAAAAGCGGCTCTCGTAACAGCGCCACGCACATTCGTTTTACAAGCGTCCAACAACAACACGGATTAAAGGGGAATCTTTTTCCAAATGTGGCTTCCGCTTTAGCGCCGAACACATTCGCTTGAAACGCTTCCCGCACTTGCACGGATGTAGAGCACGTCGTTCGTCAACATGCGGTTCTTGCCGTAGCCACGAGCAGATTCGCCTCAACAACTTCCAGCAAGTTGGGCGGATGGGGGAAATTATTTTCAAGATGTGGCTCTCGCGTTCGCGCCACGCACATTCGTCTTAACAACTTCCAGCAGCTACGCGGATGGAGGGCAGTTCCTTTTCAAACGGCGGATCTCGCCTTAGGGGAGCGCGCACTCGTCTTTAAACCTGATGGCGTTTACGCTGATGGAGCGCGGCTCCTGATCTAAGGAGGAGGGAGCATGAGGAGGAGGAGGAGGAGGAGGAGGAGGAGGAGGAGGAGGAGGAGGAGGAGGAGGAGGAGGAGGGAGAGGATGAGGAGGGATGATGGATGATGAGGAGGAGGAGGAGGAGGAGAGGAGGAGGAGGAGGAGGAGGAGGAGGAGGAGGGATGATGATGATGATGATGATGATGATGAGGAGGAGGAGGAGGAGGAGGAGGAGGAGGAGGAGGAGGAGGAGGCTGAACTTTCGTTTGTGACTTCCTCCGCCCGCACGATCGGCCATCTCCAGCCGGTGCAGCAGCTCTGCGCGGACCCAGGGCGCCTCCTCCGAGACCATCGGGGCTCTCGCCGGCGACCTCCTCCATGGGGATTTGTAACTAGACGCCTACAATAGGTTCCTGCGGCGTCGGCGCGCGCAAAGGTTTTTGACACCGCGTCGATCGTTCCACCTTGAATCGATCGCGGCCCCGATCGTTCAAGGTTGAATTCAGCCGGGCACAATGGCATTACCGTGTCCACCGGTGCTTCCGCGTCGCAGAATTCAACCTTGAGCGCCTGCGCCAGCGTCGCTGGCGCGCCAACGCCGCGCGAACCTATCGTACTTTTATGTCGGGCCTGTCCCCCTACAGGAGGATTTTCGACGAAACATAAAACATACCCCAAAGATGCACCAAAAAGGTAAAAGAATAC